GGATCGCTTACTCATTGAATTTCATTTTGACAAACTGCTCTCCGCACATTTTCCACATGGATATTGTTTAGCATGCCTGACATAAACAACACACTGCATAAAAACACTGCAATCTATGTTGCTTAGTATTTTAGATAATCTGGAAGACACAAGTAAACATATGGAGGCATCGACGGTGAAGTTTCCAGCATCAGATATTTAAAAAACTGAAGGTTTCGTCCCAAGCTAAAGGCAGCCCCCCCCAAAAAGGCATTTTGAGGAAACTGTATCCGACAGTTCTGACATTCCTCAGGGAAACTTCAGCGATAACAATGGAAACCTGATGACTGCACTCATCTAGTCTGCCGTAGGACAAAGACAGATGCTATTTCAGATCTCCTAAACCCGCACCAACTAAACCGCCATTGTGGAAGGCTCTATAAATACACCTGCTCAGCAGACACATCAGCACACTTCCATGGCATGTGAAGCATCAACCTCACGCTGGTGTCCCCTTAAATGATGATGTGTGCAGCAGCAGCAAATTCAACCAATTACCACAGTGGGCATAAAGACAAGGACTCTTGGATTGACCATTTTCTCAGCATGGTGAATTAATCTGAAATAAAGTTGAATTCAAACTTGTCAGCAGGTTGCAGATCTTTTAGTTATCAGGTTCCTCTCCTGTGCAACCAACTACCAGTTTTAGTCCGTGAGGCAGACACTAACTATAAGCTTTATCAAAAAGGAAAGTTTTAAGCCTACCCTTAAAAGTAGACAGAGTGGCTAAGGTTATTCTGAGCTATCTCTATAGTTATGCTGCTATAGGCTTAGACTGCTGGAGGACATAGGAAAAGCGTTTTCATCATATCTCTATTCTCCCACTCTGCAGTATCTGTTCTCATAGTAGCTTCATCTGGTCTGTTCCTGTTTGGCTGTGACTCCACCCTGGAGAGAAATATCAGCTGTGCTGCTGCCATCAACACCTTTGTTAAAGATGCTGGAGATCGGCCTGTTTTCCAGTGTAGTACTGTTTCTCTGATTGTGACTAACTGGATGTGCTCTCTCTCTTTCATCCTGATATGGGAGCTGGCTCAGAGCTCGTCTGCCTGGCTGTGCGTTTCCTGGAGGGGGCCGCCTGTGGAGCTGGTTAACATTGGCATTTTGTATCTCTGCTTCTTTTTCTATGTCTGCTTCTGTGTCCTTGAACCCCAGAACCCTCACATCAACTCTGGTTCTGCTGGAGGTTTCTTCCTGTTAAAAGGGAGTTTTTCCTCTCCACTGTCGCTACAAGCATGCTTAGTGTGAGGGATTGCTGAAGAGTTAATTAATTAATGCAATCAATTAGTTTTCTCTACATAGAAAACTTTGAATCAATTTGTCTGTTTGATCTGGTTGGGCTGTAAAGTGCCTTGAGATGACGTGGGTAATGAATTGGTGCTATAGAAATAAACTGAATTGAAATGAAGGGTTGATTATGGGATGCCTCGTTTATTGTCAGGATAGAGTTGGCAGGTATTTTGTTATCTTAACAACTTAAATCAAAGTACTTTTGAAGCGAAAGTCATTTGGGTCAAGATCCCACCTCTTAAGTTTAGTCCAAAAGTTTTAATGAAAAACAAATAATGATTTCTTTTAAAAAGAATTTTACCAAAACCTTGAGTGATGTTGTTGGGAAGAAACCTTGGGCTAATTATGCATTTCAAACATTCCCTCTAGGCCTCTTCACCTTTGAGTCCTAGCTGATGGTTTTGAACCTGCATATCCGTTAGCCCGGGTAAGGATATCAACCAGATACAGTAGGGTATGGAGGGCATTGAAAATCCGAAGGTTAGAGGAAGCCAAAGCAGCAGATTGATATATTCAGACCTATTTTTACCATGTTGAATCACTTGTAGAATGCCAAGATAAACTCACCTAAAAGCTGCACCTTGCAGGTACATGGCTGGACCCCCTTTTGCTTTTAGATTTGCCTTAATTCTCCCTGGCAAAGACTTAACATCCCTCAGGGATTTGACCCATACAGACATGATAATATCAGACATGGCAGCCTTACATTTATGACACTAATTACAAGCACATAGCTGCTGAGAACAAAGACCGTTACTGTCATGTTCAAGAACCACTTCTCTGACATCATAGCTCAGCATTGCTCGTGATCTAGCAGGAAGCAGAACATTTGCAACTGTGCTTACAAAAGGATAGAAATGGTCAGCAACAACACAGGGACAGGCTGTTGGGTTGGTACCGTACCAAGGTTCCTACTGTGGGCTTAGACTGTGCAATTTTGCCGGAAATACTGACTGGAATGTTTTTACAACCAAAATGGTGTCTGTGATTTTCCTCTGAACTAAAAGTTTGCAATATACATGCTTGGTTTCATTGTGGTCATTGTCTTGAATCCTCTCTTGTCCCAGAGACCATGGTTACCTATAGCCCGCATGCCTGGGTTTCATGCCCAAATGAAACTTGTTCCTGTAGCAGCTAACCCACTTCAAAAGTAAAAATGCCATTTAAACGGCCGGTGCAACAAAGCTAGTGGCTCTGCGTTTTGGAAAAACTGATTTATTAAAATGTGATTATATTTCAAATGCAATCATTTTCCAGGCCTACAGTGTGAGAGGAAAAAAAAACTTCCCTGAACCATGATTGAGATTACCACTTTAGGACCAATGAAACCTGTGACTGGACTCAGTAGTCAGCAAATCACAGCGGATCTGGCACTCCTGTCATGTCTAAACCCAAGAGTCTTTGAGCTGCCTTTGAGCTTCTCCTCCACACTAGAGTGTGCACTGCTAGGGCAGCTGGAGCTGTCACAGCAATGTTTCCAGCTCTGCTCTTAAGGGCTTTGCCACTTGCATAATAACCTGAATGAAATGTTAATGTCAGCAAGTTGACATCGCAATACCGGAACTCTGCAGTGACCGAGAATGAGACGGACAACTGCGGATCACATAAGTACAAAGAACCAGCAGGCTGAATTACAATTTGAAAGTGCACATTTAAGGGCTTTACTTCGTTCCCTAAAAGTACCGTTAATGTGGCATCTCATTCGGACCACCACAGGGCTGAGGGAGGAGGAGAGAAAACTGTTTAGACTTGCAGACTGATTGGACATGGAGCTCCAGGGCATTGGTCGTCTGGTCCGAGGTCACGCAGGCCTGTTTTAACATGCAAGATGGTCCAAAAATCATATTTTGAGTTCTGATACACACAAAGATAACAAAGAAGCTTTGATTGTGGTTGTCTTGCAGCTGTAAACTACAAAAAATATACTGATTAGATCTCTCTCAAATGTTCAAATGACTTTGGCGCAAAGATTCACCAACAAATTGACTGTTGACCTGAAACTTGTGATTTTTGGCATTATTAGTCTTGACTGGTGGCAACTGGCTGAGACAAACAGAAACTTCTTCTCCGATCATACATAAGAGCCATCAGGTCACCTTGATAAGAAAACACATGGTGTTAAAGATGCTACAGAGTGAAGGGGGGGGCAAACTGAACCATCCTCCGGTGTTTTGGAAGCTTAAGGGCCTCCGTGTGTTTTAGTGAATACTAAATGTGCTAATCAAGCTATGCTAATATGAGATGGCAGTATAAACGGTCAACCCGCATATCATTATCAACCTTCCGTTAGAATAATACACTCATGTTTAACATGAAATGATCATGAAACACACAGTTTGAGATAATCTCTGCTACAAATATGTAAAGGTATGACCACTTGCAGCAGTAAGCTGAGAGAAAAAAACACACTGGAAATGCTGTTCTTATATCTACTCAGTTTTTAAACAGGGGAAAGGAGATCTATGAAACTGTCGTCATCTTTAGGTACGGTAGTAGCCATTCAAAATTTACCCACTTTCCTTGACTGGTCCCTTACAATCCCTTTTTAAACATCACTATTTGTACTAGTCAGATTCTGTAATTCAATGAAAGGGTGGAGTCAGAGTTAAAAAAAAATAAAATGCGCACCAAGGAGAAGGCCAGTGGCTGGAAGTTGGGATTTTGCTGAGAGTCACAGGAAAGTATGCAGCCATTCAGCTGGTGTTTGACTGGGAAGGACCATTTTGAATGGCTGCTACTTAACGTCAAAATTAGCCAAAAAGACCTGCAATTGGTGAAATTCTGCTTTAATTATGAAGATGTTTGGATACACAGAGGAGGTATAACATTACAACCACCTCCACAGCAGCACTGGAACCCACTAGAACCCGGACAGAGGGCTTCGTTATGTGGCACAAGAGACTGGCAGCAGATCCAAGTCCTTGACACAAGACTTGTGTGTTCAGCACATCCCTGATCGGCTAGATTGGAGAACTATCAATGGAATATGGAGACTAGGTCAACACCTTCAGATTTGCTGATCAAACTATTCCTGAAGCATGATTTCCACAGCCTAGGAACACAAGGAACATGATTTCCAATCTGACATGTCCAACATGTCAGGTTGCAGACTGATTCTTAAGCAAATCCCTGTTATTCTCTACCAACAGCCTGTTTGCTGAATTTGTTTGAAGGTTGTCAGTCTGCTCAGCCTCTTCCACATGAGTATATAGACTCTCCTTTAAAGAGCTGCATCTGAATGTCCTTGGTCCAGCTATAAAAAGCAGCCAGGCCCCATCACTCAGCAGCAGACTGATGGAGCAGCGGGGGAGGGGGGGTCCTGTAAAAAAGGGGAAGTAAAACGCACAAACATTGAGCTCTGCAGCCTTTACGCCGCCAGCTCCACATAATCATCAGATCTCACTGCGACAATGCAGCCAGCTTTGAGGGCTGGCCCTGAATGGATGGCGCTCCACAGGATGTCACCATCACAGATCTATGGCGGACTGCAGCGCACACAGACACACGCTGCAACATCTGGAATGTTGCATTATGTAAGCAAAGAGGACAGGGGGACATTCTGTAAGGAGCCGAACCCGCGGCTCTGCTGAGGCTGAGCGCAGGAGGCTGCAGAAGGACAGACTGACTGACTGACTGACTGACAGCCGCGCTACACCAAAGCCAAGCGTTACCTCCGTCACTCCGCTCCTCCGGAAACCTTCCTCTTTTCTGACGAGGAAGAGCAGCGAGCCGCGCGCGTCCTGCGCGAAAACCTCGGCTTGATTTCACCGCAGAGGAAGGGAGGGGAAAGGGGGGCAATCCTACTCCACGATCCCCACCACGTCAGCTCTTCCGGCGGCTCGGCGCTCCGGATCTGCTGCGAATATCATCCAGACTCTGCCTTCTCTCCGCGCTGTAGTCCTGCGTCCTCCTCCTCCTCTCTGCTCTCAGTTCCCTCTCTCCTTTTTTCACGTCCACAATCTATGCAAAGCGCGTCCACGCACGGCGTGGGGTGGGAGCTTTATGGTGATACGTGTGTGGGTGGGTGTGATTGGGGAGGACCCTCCAGTTAGAAAAAGTGAAATTGTTTTCAACAGGAGAATGGCTTATCCTCTGCCCACAGTGAATTATGTTGCATCTGATGTATGTTTACAAATAGAGGCAATATGGCGCTCTACTCAGGGTGCTATTCTCTCCCACTTTAATGGGGAGGCTAAAATTACATAAAAAAACAACAACAACAAAAAAACGAGTGAAACAAACAACACCAAAAGCAGCAAAGACTATTTGTTTAAAACATTTTGCTTTGCACAATCAATTTAGGAGTAAGAGCACAAAAACTGGCTTTTTTAGGTAATCTGGACTACTTTTTTTTTTTTTTTTTTTTTTTTACAATAAATTATTTAAATTATGAAATACTTGGACTTGCATAACCTGATCAGACAACTTTTCTTTAATATGCAGAGTAAGATTTATGTCAATTGTAATCTGCTTTTGCAAACTTCTATTTTAACTCCAGCTGTTGTACATGAACTAGATTATGATGCAGATTTTTTATAATCCTCCCTGTCCCTTCCATGTCCCATTGGAGACACCATCTTTACCCCAACATGAGGTGATAAGAGTGGATGAATTACATTGCATTCACTACCTCAGCATGCATGAAGGGTTTAAAGTATGGAATTTGATGGATAATCTTATGTTTTTTGTGAGTATTTAAACTGAAGGTTTGGTGGGACTAAAGAGGCAGCATCCGCTATTAGGTGACCCGAGCTTCACGGTTGGACCTTGTATGTGGACAGATGTGACCAAAGAGCCAACAATAAATTAACTAAATTATCAGCATGGCTTTGTGTGCTTTGCTTGTTTCAGGGATTGTGCTAACAAGCAATTGTCAGCTATATGTTGAAATGGACTCAAAATGGGTTCAGATGTATTAAAGGTTGTTTTTGTTTTGGCAGGTTGGCTTGCAATACAACAAAACATTTTTAGAAACACGGTCTGTTCTTCTCAACCTGTTTTCTTATATAACCAAATTTTCAGATGTGGTCAGGTTCATTCTTATATGACAAAGTCAGGTGATTTTACATGTCCAAAATCAAATGAACAGTTATTTATCATGCCATCAGTTGTTGGAATAACTGCCCACTTAATATACATGAACTGAATAGTAAAGCATCTTTTAATTATTATTTAAGAATGCACTATTTAAATGTGTGAGTTGTGAATGAACATATTGATTGTATGAAAGTCAGAACTAATGTACTGGATATGAAAGTAATATTTTATTGGAATGAGTTCTGACGACCTCTATAATAATGTCTGTAATGTTTAATTTTTAAGTGATTGTTTAAATGTTAAGTGATTTTTGTTTTTGTTTTGTGGACCCCGGGAACCATGAAAAATCTCCTAGAGTTTAATTATAACTGGAAGCATAATACAAAATATGATCAAAGAAACTTAATTGTATGATATATAATTTAAAATCTTAGCTGAAGTTGGACTTTAACTTTTAAATTATCTTGGATTCTTTGAAAAGCAAAGATTCAAAAAGGTTTCATCCTGCTCATTCCTTTATTGAATAGTCTGGCAGTTTAAAAATCTGTCAACATCTCCAGCGCTCGTTGGCGCCCCCTGCTGGCCTGATAAGCCTCATGGCTTCCATCAGTAAAAGTCTAGATGCTTTAGACATTATGTGTGAATTCATTGTGAGTAAAAATACGTATTTTAATGTATTCTTATGATAAAGTAGAACAAGATATTTTATATGAGTGACACCAAATTTGACATAAAACAAACAAACAAACCGTTAATTAACCCTTTAAAGCCCGATCCATGAATACAGCAAAACAGAAGATTACTTTTTTTTGGTTTGAAGTCCTTATTTGGCATTTTAACAAAATATGTAAAAAGAAAAAACAGAAATACATTTTTGATATTAATAAATTATTACTATGCAATAAGTCAAGATTATTTTTTGTGTAGTCTTCTGCCCTCTCTTATCAGGTACCGTCTATCTGATTGTGTACAATAGGATTTTGAGCAAAGTTTTTACCATTAAATTATGCAAAAGGCATCAGACGCAAAACATTTCAGAAACCGTATGTATCAAATATGATACATTTGGCATTACAGGGTTAATCAGCTGCCTACAGTATCTAGCAACCACTTTACAAAACCCTACCTTTGATCCAGTTTAATCCAGAGCTTGCAATGGTTTAGACAAACAATGTTTTCAGTATTGACTCCTGGGAATGACTGCGGATCTTCCAGATGACAGCCATGATGAATCATGGGTATAACTGCTTCTGATGTCTGAGCAGTGCAATGCATTTATGAGCCAACGTTCATGTGTAAAGCCACAGTAGAAGGATATCTCTCAGGATCAGTTCTGTGACATCTCTAATATGTCGCCTTCGGGCGGTGCTTGTCAGTTATATGCAAAGGGGCATGTCTGTATTTTGGCTCAAAATTCTGTGTCAGGGATGAGATCAGAGGAATATGTTGCAATGTTTTACTGGCCCCAGAGACAGAAAATGTTTTTTCCAGCTTTGGGGGATTCCAGGATAACAGGAGGAGATGAAATGAAGTTTGATATTTCGTAAGGCAAAGGTAGTGGAAACGTGAATCATTCTGTTGTTATGAAGAGATTTCCAGCGCACTCAGACAAATCGTCTACTGAGTTTTGTCCTGGAAGGACGGACAGGCCCAAATACCCTTAGAGTAAGAACAATCTGGCATGTGCCTGAGGAGATTTGCCCCTTTTTAAGCTCCTCCTGATTGGGCCTGATGAGCTCTAGCTGTGAGGACACATAAAAAAAAAAAAAAAGTTTTTTCACGCCCTACATGTAGAGGAGGTGAGGTGCAAGGTAGGAAAAATCTGCATACAGCTCTGTGGATTTCACAGAATAGTTTCCTGTTTGGGCTGCACAGTGTTGCATGGTCGAATTCCTGATCTGGGGTCATTCTGCATGGAGTTTGCACCTGCTCTCTCTGGGTACACTGCAAAAACTTTCTGAAAATAGGCGTATTTACCATTTAATTTGAGCATGGAAAATAAGATGATGCCAATGGAATTAACATTTTTACCCTTAAGATAAGATAATTTGACATTATGCACTTGAAATAAGAGACTGTTGTCGTTTTTTCTCATTTTAAATATAAATTGTCTTGTTCCATTGGCATAGTGTCTCACTTACCTGCTTAATTGCAGAAAAATTGACTTACTTAGATTTCATTTTTTTGCAGTGTATTCTGGCTTCCTTCGACAGTCCAACATTCAGTGACTCAAGGTGTGAATGTGTGCACTGTTTTATGTCTCTGTTTTGCCCTGCAATGGATCACGATCTGTTCAGGATGCATCCCATAGACTACGGGAGACGGGCACCTGCCTTCTGTGAACCTCACAGATAAGTAACAGAAGACGGATAAACTGTAAGAGTCTGAAACAGGACTCTGTTATTGATTTATCATTTCCATCTAACAGTCAAAGTTTTGTTTTTCTTCTGAACTACACACACAGCAGCTGTTAAACCACAACCACTTGCTGATGGCATAGCCTGGGAGCTCATCCAAAAGAGGTGGTCTGGAAGTACATTTTGAAATCCCAGGGGACTCATAGCAGGAATTATACGTTTTGGATGACTTAACACATTATGGCTGAGAGAAAAAAAACTTCTTTACATTTGATGTGTGTCAGTAAAGATAACAAAATCAGTTACTTGGGACTAGGAGAAGGTTTTACAAAAATAATTCTGCGCCATTTCTTTAGGGAAATTATCTATTTTATTTCCCTTTCTAGTCTAGTTAACTTTCTGTTAATCAGTACTTCGCAGTCAGAAAGAAAATTCTCCCATTATAGTCTATTCCCATATTTATGTTTATAACAGGTATTTACAGTAGTAAAAGTTCCTTAATAACTATGTTTATTTAATTTAATCAACAGAAGTCTAAAGATTGTTTTTATTAATAGGTCAAACTTGAACAACTTCTTTTTCTAAAGCGCATTGGTCTAGTGGTTAGAGCATGTTGCTTGTGCTCTGAGAGGGTTGCAAGTAAAAAGTGAAACATGTAGATATAAATGTCAAATTATGTCTAAATTGGTTGAAAATGCTATTAATGTAGATTTAAGCCACATGTATGGTTAAAAAAATAAAAAAATAAAACAATTTGAAGCTAAGCAAGTTCAATGGAGTTTTAATTGTTACGGCATCTAAGGCAGATGTGGGTCAGTGTTTGCCATGGTAAGTGCTGTCCAAATAGTGCTGCCATTTAGGAAGCAGGTAGAATAAGACCCTGTGTTCTTCCTATCATTTTTCATTATTATAGTGAACTTATGGCCAAACTCCAAACGGGCCCCTAAACCCTAACCTTCCGTTCCCACGGAGGGTCCGCCACATGAAGGGCTGTCCCAAACCATGTAGTGGGTAGGGCGAGTGTTCTGTTCAGCCCTTAATAGCAAGTCTGGATCAGTTCAGGCTTGCTAGAATTTAAAGTAACAGCGAACTAAAAGAGGAGGAAACGCTGGCATTGATCAAAAAAGCAAACATCCTCCCTTCCCTTACATTCAGAAACACTCTTGTTAGTTTAGACACAGGCCTTGGTTTTGATCCCCTCTCTAATTCATCACAAAGCACTTCTATTGGGCTGGGATCAGAACTGAGTCCGGTTTTTCTGCATCAAAAAGGTCATTTATCATACATATGGTTTTGAAAAAAGCGAAGAACTTAAAATCTTCCAACAATTTTTTTCTAAACTGAAGGTTAGGACTTGGGAGCAGAGCTCCTTTCCTGAAAAAGAAAAAAGTCCAACATCACACCTTCAGTCCCGACCCCCACCATCAACCAAATCAAACACTTGACATGATACAGTTAAGCAAGTCTCATTCACCAGGCAAATACCAAAACCAGACATCCTTTGGAATGTCAGACAGAGAGGCATGGCCTCCATACCAGAATACACTTCTCCATTGCTTTAAAGTGCAGCTAACTGAATGCAGTGAGGTCATTTAAG